CTCCCAATAAGCCCTTCCGCCTCCGAGAAAAGCCCGGCCCGGCCCAAAACATCCACCATGCAAGCATAGTGCTCATTACCGGGCCTCACACCGTAGGCCCGTTCCATCCGGTCAAAGCACCACCGGGCCCAATCCACGAGCCCGCAGTGGACGCAAGCCGAAAGCAAGGCCACAAAGGTGACGTCATTGGGCCGCACGCCAGAGCCCTCCATCTCGGCAAACACCCCAAGCGCCTCGTGCCCGAGCCCGTTGAGCGCGAGAACCGAGATCATGGCCGTCCAGGCAAACACGTCCTTGTTACAAATCGCTCGGAAGATTTTCGTTGCCTTGTCGACGTAACCGCATTTCCCGTACATGTCGACTAGAGCCGTCATGACTGCCACGTCACACTCGAGCCCGGTTCTGTGTAAATAAGCGTGAACCCATTTTCCCTGATCGATTGCGCCAAGTGAGGCGCATGCAGAGAGGGCACTTGCCACAGTTATTTTATCGGGGAGGACTGTATTTTTGTCGTGCATCTCGCGGAAAATGTCGAGAGCCTGCCTCGGGCGGCTGCCTTGAGTAAGGCCCGTTATGACGGAGTTCCAAGTGATGATGTTTTTCTTACTTTCCATCTGTCGGAAGAGTTTGAGAGCAGAGTCGAGCTCCCCGCCTCTCAAAAAGCTGATAATCATTGAATTCCAAGAAACCGCGTCTCTTTGGGGCATTGCGTCGAACACCTTGCGTGCATTGTCCATAGCCCCGCAGTCCGTGTAGAGAGTTATCAGAGAATTTTGAACGTAGAGATTGGATTCGTACCCGAGGTTGAAGGAGTGGGCGTGGAGGGCTCGGCCAGAGGACATGTTGGCCCTGTTAGAGCATTCTTTGAGCACGAATGGGAGGGTAATGGAGTCTGGTAGCAGGCCACCGCGGAGCAGGGATTTGTAAAGGATGAAGCACTGGCGGCCGCTTGATTCTGTGGCACTTGCGCGGATGATGGCATTGTAGGCGAAGAGGGAAGGGTTGGGGATGTGGGCGAAGATCCTGGCGGCGTAAGGGAGGGAGAGCGGTGAGGACGCGGCGGCGCAGAGCTGGAGAAGGAGGCGGGAGACGAGGAAAGATCGGTGGTGGGAGGAAAGGTTCGGGGAGGTGAGGATTTGGGAGTGGATTTGATGGAGGTGTTGAATGCTGTGGGAGATGTGTATGAGGCGAGCGATGGTGTTCTTGAGATGCCGTTCTACCATATCATTTGGGGTGTATTTGGGGTTTCTTTAACATGGGATTAAGTAGTGTTTCAAATCAAGTATTCAGTTTTCCCTGCTATTCATTCCAAAGGAACATGTGCTTACGTCTTGATCCATTAGGGATAGATGCTTTGGACTCCAAACCACAAAATATGGTTAACCGACCGAAATCAAAAATTCGGTTTGGACCGAAATCGAATTGAATATTTTGTTCGATTTTCGATTTATAGTTTCTTAAAAATTTGGTTTTCGGTTTGGTTTGGATATTATTTTTCCGTTAACCAAACCGAACCGAAAATCAATATTATATATATAAGTTATAAAAACCCAACATAAAAGTCCAATATAAATATATAATATGAGTTATGTAATGGCCGAATCAAAGCTCACAGGCCAAGGCTAGGCCCAACCCCATATACTGGAAATTAGATTGGGCAATTTTCATTTATACACAGCGTTTCTTAATTTATTGTAAGATTACCAAGGGGATTAATTTTTTTGCAAGTTTACCTATTGCATGGAAATTAATTGAGATAATACCTAATTTCGGTTTCCTCAACAAATAGAGATCAATGTCCTTAAATGTCGCGTTTTGTTAGTCAGCCGTTATTTTTGCACATATAAGATATGTACTCAGCCGTTATCGATCTGATGTTTATATATATATATATATATATATACATATATATACTGGGTTTATATACAGAACATATACCGAGCATATACAGAGCATATACTGAAAAATAACATCAGATCCAGGCGAACATATACTGGACATGTGTATACCGAACATATACAGTACATATACTGAAAATAACTCCAGATCTAGGTGTCGAGTTGTTTATAAATCTCATGAATTTCATTCCAAAACCATGAATATTCAATCCAATTGCAATGTGGGAAAAAAAAAACAGAGAGAGGGAGAGAGAGGAAGGATTCCACCGATCAGGACAAAAACGAGAGAGGGAGAGAGAAGAAAGGAGAAGAAATAGGGGGGAGAGAGAATGAAAAAAACAGAGATAGGGGGAGAGAAAGGAAGGATTCCACCGATCCGAAAAAAAAAACTGAGAGAGAGAAGAAGGGAGAAGAAGAGATAGGGGAGAGAGAAAGTCTACCTTTAATTACGCTGATCAGTTAATTGCATACTTCAATTAATTATTTAGTAATTTTGCAATTAATGTTATGCATATGGTAATTTTGCAATAAAAAGTGATATGTGTTGTATATGGTGTAATTTTCTCAATTAGAATGGATTTAAATCGGAAGATCGAACAACGAACAAATACACCTCATCTCTCATCTACTCAATTGACAGAAAATTCCAAATTCTCAATTTCAAAAAATTTCATAGTCTCCGCCTGTCCACCGCAGACAATCATTGAATCACACACTCCCACTCCGTGTCTCCTAATCGCCGCTCGACGTTTTGGACTTCGGCCGCTCAGATCTCTCCGATAGCTCCCGCACAGACTCCACCCGGCACTCAACGGCGACGGTCGTCATCTCAAATAAGTTCACCACCCAAATTCCCTCGTACGGGCTACACCTCAAGTTCGTTTTTTTTTTTTTTTTTATTTTTTATTATTCTGTAAGACTTTGAAGCTTAACTCGTGAGTATTTTGTTTCGATTGAACAAATTTGGTGAGCTCACCAGGTTCTCAATATAGTTTCGTCTGGAGAATAAGTACTAATATGCACTAGGTTCCCAACATGAATCGAACATCCACCTGCCACTGGAGTGAAACTTAAGTGAACGAACTACTTGAGCTAGCCTGGGGGCAACCTTCATATCTTTGATATCCTATCAATTTTGTATGGGTGACAACGATAATGTAACAAGATAATTGTATGAAATTTTAGTATCGCCCCTAAAAAATCAATTCCTCTTTGTGTACTTCTGTCTCCTGCTCAGTTACATAGTAGACACCGGCTGTGATAGTGGATGTTGAGTAGCAGTAAAAGTTTGGATGTGAGGGTGACGGCCCACTTCTTGGTAGAAAATCAGTTACTCCCTCCTATTTTTAATAAATGTCATTTTGAGAAGTTGCACAATAATTAAGAATATTTTTTTTGCCAATAATAACCCTCATTAATGAGGATAGAGAATGATGTTTTGAGAAAAGATAGAGAGTGAATATGAAAAGACGTAGTGTCTTTATTAGTTAGATGAGGGTAACGATGGAAAAATATGTACAAAATAGCCAAAACGACATTTATTTAACAAATGATCAATTAAGTTAGGATGACAAATAATAAAAATAGGAGGGAGTATTAAACTTGGGTTAGACCTAATTTTAGCTGATTTTTTTATGGCTACATATTTAATTCGATGTGAATTGTTGTGCAGAAAAAATCTACGTTTTGAGTTGATACTCGTGGTATATTTATTTTCTCAAAACTAATTCTGTTGAGTGAGAAATAAATAATTAAAGTTAGTCATTAACGAACACATAAAATGATGGTTGTGGGATCCGAAGGGTCAAGAGTCCTATCCCACATTGGACTCTTAAATGAAGATAACTCTTTTTATTATAATAAACAGAGTTAGAGCGGTTACAACTACAACAAAACTATGCATCAAGTGTTGGTAGTGGTTTCAGCCACATAAGCGCGGTTGCGCGTGCGCTCGACCAAACGGCTCCGGCTCGGGCCTTGGCCTTGGATCTTGGATCTTGTTCCTTGGTCCTTGGTACTTGACATTTGGATTGTGAGTTGGACTTGGGTGGCCTTGGACGGTCTAGGCCAGTGTTTATTTGAAAAATTGTGGCCCAAAATAACTTTCAAATTGAGTTTTTAGCCAACCCCTTTGGACCTCTCCAGATACAATGTATGCGGACATGTTGACTCCACCTGACCGTTTCAGAAGGTTGTCAGGTAGAGTAGTGGTGTGTTAACACATGAAACGGCTGGCCAAACTGTTGGTGTATATACTGAAAGATGGCTTTAAATGTATTTACACAGAACCCGTTTGAATGAGAATCATGTTTAATTAAATTGTCTATGTTCTGTTGTTTTGCACTTAGATAGAATGGGTCGTCATTGGGCGAACATAAGATCATTCTATCAGTTACTTGCGAAACAAGAATCGTTGGTTGACAACCTAGATGGAAATGACCACCCAATCCGAACGGTTCTAGTGTTAACCGTACAGTTGGTCTTGACTGATTAGTTGCACTAGTACACTTTGTGTATTGAACGGATCCCAGAGAGGATAAGTTTGTTTTATACTAATCGTCGTAAAAGAACTAGGCCTCGGTTAATTACTGCGTACTCTTAACCCGTAAGATATAAACAGGCATGCGCATGCAATTAATATTACTTTGATTCACTTGGGTGAGATTCAGTTTACTGGATCAATATACTTAATGTTTTGGGTAATATTATTGTATGTATGATGTGTTGTTAGAATATTTAAGGCCACCGTGTGCATTAGTTTGATGATGTCCCCGAGATGAGCTCATGAAGGATTATTATGTTAAATCTGGCTAATGGATTTTATTCCGACATAATAATAATGTGATGAGTGCTACTATTCTCGGTTATAGATGTCAATATTTAATTGTCAATAATTAAATTAATTGATGGACATTATACCTTAAACACGAAGAGATAAATAAAGTAATTATTATCGGAGACTTGAATATAATTCGAGAATTAAATTGGGAGTTTGTTTAATAATACTACTTTAGTGGAGTGTACGTATTATTTCTATTTGCGTTTGGTAGGCTTGGCCTATAGTCTAATCCAAATAGGAGAAACCCAATTTTATACCTCCTTAGGGTCCTTTTTGTAGCTTATAAATACATCACATCTCTTGGGATTAGAAGACTAATGGAACAGAAACACGCGCACCTCAGATTGAGAAAATCGGCCGCCTCCTTTTGTTCTCTCTCTTGTGTTCTCTTCTTCTTCTCCAAGTAAACCCAGTAGAGATATCTCCGATCTATCGCCCACCAAGATGATCGGACGAGATGTCGGGTCATACAATAGAAGATCTGAGGCTGTCGAGCGATTTATATATATTTATCCAACCCCGTAATATATATATATATATATATATATATATATATATATATATTCAACCCCGTAATGTTTGAATATGTATACTGGATGTATTGGAATTATCCGACGACTATCCCTTGATGACTGGCGACCTCCGGCGACCCTATGGCGTGATTCCAGCAACCGGACCCCGCCGTGCTAGCAGCCCACGTAATGCCACGCGGCACCCAAGCACGACTAGTGTTTCCACGCGCGGCCCAGCACATCTGGCAGATCCAGTCGCAGCTCTCGCAGCCCAGCCCGCCTGATGTTGCGTGCGGCTTAGGGGAATAAGCCAGTCACCTCCAGCAGCCCAGCGACGAGGAAGCGCAAGATGCAGAGAGGCCCAATGTGGATGAAGCCCAGCAGGAGAGGATCCAGCGCACGCGGGCTGCACGCCTCACAAACTCCAGCCCGCGAAGCCCGAGCCAGCCTGTGCTCAACCCGAAGTCGGCCCGCGCGGATCCATCCCATCTGCATGCTTCCTGGCCCAGTTCTCCTCGGCCCAACCTGTAACACCCCGCCTGCTCAGAGTAAATTTTTCGCAACTTTTATTTCGAAAATGCTTATAAATTTTTCGAAATCTTTTGCACCTAACTCGGGATGGTACTAAAACTTATCTGCTCTGAAAATCTGTTTTCTTTAAACTTGGTCTAACGACTGGTTTAGACATAAAGAAAAACAGATTTTAAATCTTTAATCGAACAAGCATGTAAAACTGGACCCCGTTCATACTGGCGAACCAGGTAAAATCTTAAAAATATGAACATACTAACATGCAAGTTCGAAACTTATGAGCGTAGCGGAAACTTAAAAGCGTGGCATAATTATACAGACTGAAATTTTATAGAAGTCCACAAACGGCAACTGGGCCAAGTCCTTGACCACAACCACCACTGTTGAGCTTACACCTCCTTGCCGACCCTCTCATCTGAAAAAGATAATAATGGGGCGTGAGC